ACCAGAAGGACCTCCAGGTGATCCGGGAATTCCGGCGATGAGTCAACCAATGATTCCAGGAGAAGCAGGCGAACCCGGAGATCCAGGACCACCAGGACCACCTGGCCAACCCGGCGAACCAGGAAAGGTAACATTCATGATTAACATTGTTCTGTGCCCTTTACTACATATTACAGGATGGTGCACCAGGACCAACAGGACCAAAAGGACCGAGAGGTCCACCTGGCCCAGTTGGAAGTGATGGCCTTCCGGGACCTCAAGGATTACCTGGTCAACCAGGCACACCTGGAGAAAAAGGAATATGTCCAAAATATTGCGCACTTGATGGTGGCGTTTTCTTCGCAGATGGCTCAAGACGATAACAACAAATATCATCTGAATGTAAAAATGTACACTATGAGAAACGTATTGTTGAGCTTGTTACTTGTTGAAGATTTTGTTAACCTGTATTCCAAACGATTAAAGAATATAGGAATCAGACTTTCCATCTGAAAACACTACTAGTTTTTGAGAAGGCAGATGGCAAAATGGACTTCGCCATGTGGAAATCACGCTTAAAGTTTCGATAACATTGTGTTCACAAAACATCAAATGTGTCCACCAAGGCATGTTTGTTTTACTCCACCGAAACCATGTTTCATTATATGCTGAATGGCCATATGAAGTCTAGTCTTAGAGAAATTTTGCACTTATTAACAGACACCAGAGAGCGAAATCATATCTTTTTTTCAAGAAATACATAATGAATATTAACTCTTGAAACTTTTTTCTTGACTTTCAAAACATTTAGTTAACTAAACAGCGTGAAATTCACGTAGCACTGCATGTACGTAAGAACAGTAGAGACAAAATCTGCATAAATGATTTTCTGTGACAATGCATATAATTTCTGTAGGTATTGTATGAACCTTGCCGCGCCTGTTGCCGGAAACTTATACGGACCAAAAGCTCACCTTCAGGTTCCAAGTGTTACAACAGCTGCGAATGACAGAAAAAACTTTCGAGATTACTCTTTTGCCTTAAAGACAGAGACCAAAGGGACGAGAGAGGGTGACACGAGTCGAAACGTTGCTATTGCTTAGTCATCAGACTGACCCAATTATTTGCGTTGTATAAACATACACTTTTATTCTGTTTTCAATATGGCAATCCATACGATTACGCTCAAGAAATTGCTCTCTGTGCATTTTTCCGACCTTGAAATCTAATTTTGAAGGAATCCAGGGTTGTTTTGTCAGTTATTTAGTGGTGAAGGCTGAACTTAAGAAATAATTAATAATCGCGTATTATAAAAAGATGTGCGTTCATCTTATACTTTTTAGGGTTGATGCCGATACGGGGCTGTAGATAACGTGAAAATGATCGATCTTCTGGTTCCATGGTTGGCAGCAGGAAAAACAAAACAATCATTTAATTAAAACATTTCAATGTTTCGACCGACGTGGCATCGGTCATCATTAGGGAACGATACATCGCGCAAACAGCAGATAATTTGCCAAAATGATTTGTTTACTGATCTTCAGTCAGAATTCAATTTCTCTCTGAACGATCCCCAAGTCAGTAGCTTGCAATGAGTGTTTGTTTCACTGTGGGAGTTTCGATATGCCGAATATGCAAACCTGATGACGTTTAAGCCAACCAGCGAAAAGAAGAATTCTTCTATCCTCTGAAGTGTCCTGACTGTTCAGTATCCATTAAGGAGGTTCCTTTCTTTCTTGCTGTCAGAATTTTCTACCTGTAACTAGCTTTTGAGAAGAAACTGAATTTGTGAAGTTCGACGACGTGACACGATCCGTGCTGTCT